TCTCCAACATCATCAATTAAAGCAACTTGATTGCTTGTCGGTGGTGGACTTTATTCAAATTAAAAAAACTTCCTTTTAAGAATGTTTCATTTAATTTGAAAACAGTTTCATTTAATTTGAATAAAGTTTCATTGAATCTGAAAAAGGTTTCATTTAATTAGAAAAAGGCTTCGATTTATCTGAAAAAGGGATCATCTAATTTGAAAATGGTTTCGCATGAGCTGAAAAAGGTTTCATCTAACGTGAAAAGGGTTTCACGTAATTTGAAAATGGTTTCATTTAAACTTAAAATGCTATAAGTAAAGCTTTACGATATATGGCATTGATCAGCGCTGTGCGTATACGTACGTCCCAACATAAAAGTTTGTGCACCATCAGTAATAAAAAGAAGTGCCGCATAAAGTATGGCCTTCCATTGGGGTTGCCTGTCCTCTTTGTCTTCGGAGTTATCTTCGACAAAGCCAATAATTAAACTTAGTACTTGAGGTTGTGCAAAAGTTAATACATCGCAAATCAACTTCATTAGCGAACCAAGCAAAAATACTACACCAAATGATTTAATGATTGGCGGCTTGATTGAAGCCACACCCTTCCTGCCGGTATTTGTAAAAACCTGCAAATCGTGAGCATCTAGAGCGCAACTATCAACAACTCAACATTCATCAACTTGACACGCTCATCCTTGTAGTTCTTTTGCCTTATTTGTAATAAAACTAATCGCTTCAAGATTCAAAGTTGAACTGCCGCTGAATGTTCTTGTTTTATTATTGTTACTTTTTGACATTTGCTATTCACGATGAAAGGTAGTTGCCACCTCGGCTGACAGTAAACAATAATTACATAGGTATATAATTCAAACTATTACAGCTCGACCGGGTTTTCGAAACTGATCGTCCCGGTCAAACAATTTAAAAAAATACCAAAATTTAATTACAAATAACTGAAATTGACCTCTAAATCAAACGACTAAAAATAGAACTTAAAACTAGAAAATTTATAACAGTAATTAAACTAATTGAATTGG